GCCGTATCTGGTTTTGATTTTCAATAAAAGTATAGATGACGGTGTCTTCCCGAACCTAATGAAATACAGTAAAGTTATTCCATTATTCAAAAATGGTGACACTAAGGAACCAAACAACTATAGGCCTGTGTCTGTTCTGCCGGTTCTTAGCAAAGTGTTCGAAAAGTTAATGCTATCTCGGATGCTTCATCACTTTGATAAACATGCCATCTTCCATCACCAACAATACGGTTTCACTAAAGGTCGTTGTACAACTGACGCCGGTGTCACGTTGATAAAGGAAGTACTCGGTGCTTGGGAGGAAGCACAGGATGCTGTTGGTGTCTTTTGCGAGCTCTCAAAAGCGTTCGATTGCGTTGATCATGAAACACTCTTGCTGAAATTAGATCATTACGGGATTAGACATACTGCACTCCGTCTACTAAAATCATATTTAGAGGATAGGCAGCTGAGAGTTCATGTAGGTGGTTATAACTCACAGGGCTCTGAGATAAGAATGGGCGTTCCACAGGGTTCAATATTGGGTCCGTTTCTCTTTTTAGTGTATGTTAATGACTTGCCATTTTTATTTAAAGCTGAGCCAAGTATGGTGCTGTTTGCTGATGATACATCATTAATTTTTAAAATAGGTCGACGTTCTAATAATTTTGACGAAGTAAACAGCTCCATTCATCAAGTTCATAATTGGTTTACAGTCAATAATTTAGCACTTAACGAGAAAAAAACAAAATGTATTAAATTTAGCTTGCCCAACGTACACAGTAATGATTGTAGCATAATTTTAAATGGGGAAAAGTTAGAATTTGTCAACGAGACAGTGTTTCTAGGTATCACACTAGACAATAGACTTCAATGGGGTTCCCACATAAAGACGCTTTCGGGGAGACTAATCTCTGCTATTTTTGCAGTTAGACAGATAAGACAGCTCACAGACGTGAACACAGCAAGGCTTGTCTATTTTAGCTATTTTCACAGCATTATGTCATACGGAATTTTGCTGTGGGGTCGAGCTGCGGAAGTAGAATCAATATTTATTCTACAAAAGCGGGCTATCCGAGCGATATATAACTTGCCCCGTCGCGAATCTCTGAGAGAACTATTTAAAACGATAAATATCCTGACGGTGCCTTGTCAGTTTATATATGAAAATATTATGTATGTAAGGAAAAATTTGCAATTATTTGAAAAAAGAAGCGATAGACATAATTTTAATACAAGAGGCAAAGATAGGCTGGCTGTGCCACGATTCCGTCTGTCCAAGGTACAGAAATCCTTTATGGGGTTCTGTGTAAATTGTTACAATAAAATTCCAAGTACTGTATTGAATCTTAACGAACGAAAATTTAAAACTTATATTAAACGTGAATTGTGTAGACAGGCATACTACAAACTTTCAGATTATATTGAGGATAAGAATGCCTGGCAGCGTGTTGATTCAGCTCCACTGGACAATACTCAAATATAGTCAGCAGTTAGGTAAAATTCTCAAAAATAATGCATCCTTAATTTATATATCCAAAAAGTTTATATAGAAGCACTCTTAAAGATTGTGAGTACGCATATGTGAGCGCCATGTTCGAGACGACAAAGGAGTACAATTTTATGAGGTCTTATTGAGGGTATTATTAGGTCCCCTCATTTGTTCTTTTTTTAACAACTTGTCTCTGCATTGTTCTCACATAAGGGTACACTAATGTATACTATAAATGTTATATTATTGAAATTGTAAAACAATTTTTTTTAAAAAAAAAGAGTAACGAATGGAGTTTCTTGCTCGTTCTTCTCCATTCGAATCTACAATTTGGAATGAGCACCTAGCTTCACTGACGAACAGACTGACAGACTACTTTTCTATTTTGACGTTTCAAAAGTAACTATTGATGGTTTAGTTGGAATAAATGATTTTGACTTTGACTTTGACTTTGACTAATATTTGTGTCTTTTTGTATATACTTTCGATTGTTCACCATCATCATCATCAGCCGGAAGACGTCCTCTGCTGTACCAGTGAAAGTCCAGTGTTTTAGGATGAGTAAGGTTACCAGAGGCTCAAACCTTTTTTCTCGGCGCGTCCCCAATATTCAAATATCAGAATTTAATACCACCCAAAAGGCCGGTAACGCAGGTTTTGTCCTCTGGTACTACAGATATCCACGGGCAACGCCATTTGCATCCTATCAGGTGATTCTTTAGCTGATCTTTCCTATAAAAATGCTGCAAATATCATCTTCATGTTCTTTTTTTAATGGACTTCTCAAATTAACGTTTAATTATATATATTATATACATTAATTTGAAATTTTTACTTCGGTTTACTTTATTGAGGACCGAAAATAATCAAACGACCTAGTCTCTCACCCAGAGTGAAGCAAGAGGGAGTGTCAGACTCTTTCTGACTAAAAAGCACCCCGTTCCTTCTGTTCTCGACCTCAGCCAGGGGCGCAGTAGATAATTGCGCTTGACCCGCAACCCCAACTATGTTCACCTCATTGAGATAACAAACAGAGAAAGTTCATCCATTTAAAAAGAGAATTTTCTCGACATTTCTTTAGCAACAGTGGAATAACGGAATTCTTCAAACTTGAGTACACAATAAATAGCTACTAAAGATCGGACGACATTGAAGTGGCCTCTGCAGTCTTCATCAACGTATAATTTACCAATCAGCTACTGAGATCTAGGACATTAGTGACATCATTGGACGCGAGACAGACATGCAATTGATCTCACACATGTATTTATACTACGCTATAGCTTTTGCTTGCGACTCCATTCGCGTGGAATAGATTTCCGCGTGTTGTGGTAGCCCGGAGGTTAAGGCGCCCGCTTCTCATGCATGAGGGTAGGTTCGAAACCTGGCAAGTACCAATGTGACTTTTTCCGAGTTATATGTACTTTCTATGATTATTTACACACCACTGACATATGGTGAAGGTAATTATCGTGAGGAAACCTGGACTTGTAATTTCTAATTATAAGTTTGAAATCGCCAACACGCATTGAGCAAGCATGGTGATTAATGCTGTAACCTTCTCCGTATGAGAAGGTTAGAGCATTCATCACCATGCTTGCTCCTTATCCTTTGCTCAGCAGTGGGCATTCATAGGCTGATGATGAGGATGATTTTTTTGGAAAAAATAAATCTATGTCCTTTCTCGAGTTCCAAACTATGTCTGTACTAAATTTAACAGAAATCGGTTAAGTAGTTTAGGCGTGAAGAAATCATAGAGTTACTTTCGCATTTATAATATGGACTAGCGCCCCGCCTCGGCTTCGCACGGGTGCAATACTGATACTACTAATTTTACTAAACTTTCAACCGTGGTTATTCGAGACACAATATAAGAACAATAGGTGCGTGAATGCTTGGGGTTTGAAGGTTTAGGTAATGGACTGTTACTCTTAATCACTTTACCAAAAAAAAACCGCATCTAAATCCGTTGCATGCGTTGTATACAGCATATGCAGAACAGTATATAGTATGTACTGTTCTATGATTTTAACGTGAAACGATAACAAACATCCATCTGTCCGCACGTAAATTTGAGTTTAAATTATAAACTAGGGAACGGAGGGTCGAGAAAGAGCCGGGGAGCCTAAATTTCTCCACTATTTAATGGATGTTATTGTACATAGGTAATATAAATTCTTCTTCAACCACTCTAGTTATTAAAAAAACTGATTTAAAATCCGTTGCGTAGTTTTAAAGATTTAAGCATAGGTACATAGGGATATAGGGACAGAGAACGCGACTTTGTTTTATATAAATGATGATGAAATGAAATGAAAAATGTTTATTCGGCAAAAGGCATGATGAATGCCAAAGACGAGAAAAAATATACATTATAAAATGACAAAATAACTTTGTTTTTGCTCCGTGCAAAATAAGAATAAAATACTCAAAAAATTGAGATGTGTGTAATTATATTAAGTGGATCTGGTAATTATATCAACGAACATTCATTTATGTAGATGCAGCATATATTCATACTAGCTACTATCGCGCGGTTTCACCCGTTTGTTATTATTTACATTATATTTACAAGAGCTTTTGCCCACGACTTTGTTCGCGTGGAATAGTGACTTCCTGCAGATTTTTGGTTTAAAAACTATTCTATCGCCCGGTTTCTGAAAGGTTTATCAACGCTAAAATTAACTAATCTCCTGTTAAATCTCTTGTCAAGTCATCTGATTGGTTGTTGATAATCCAGTCAACCAATCAGATGACTTGACAAGAGATTAAATTGATTTTAACATTGATCGGCCTTTCGGTAACCGGGTGTATGTCCTTTTTCAAGTTCCAAACTATGTCTGTACCAAATTTCACATAAATAGGATGAGTAGTTTAGGCGTGAAGAAAGGACAGACAGACAGAGTTACTTTCGTATTTGTAATTTTAGTTTGGATTTAAGTGTGGGAGAGCCAAGCTTCGGTATCGTGTCGGCTCGGCCGAAATGATACAACGACCTCAAAGAAAACCGGCATAAAACAACCACAGCGTTGTGTTTTGCTCTGTGCGTGAGGCTATCGGAGGCCATATCCTTCCCCTTCACCAATCCTCCCCAACCCCAGAAATCCCTAATCTCCACGCACGCACTTGTAACTTCTCTGTGCGTTCGTCCATAGGCGGCGCCGATTGCTTACCGTCAAGCAATCAGTGCCGCCAATCACATATAAAAATATTAAGTAGTGAATGTATTTCAAGTCAAAATCATAATGGAATAATTTAATCAATCTAATCACAAGGTACAAAATGATAAAACAGGTCGTCCTTCAGGATTTGTCCTTCTTACTTTACCGACAATTAGTAGTAGTCCGGAGTAGAAGAACGAAAATTCCATAGATTTCTATAAGGAAGAACAATTATTAAGGTTTATTTTGCGTTGTATTTCGCCGTCAATAAGGTAACCGGAGCCAAGTTTTTTGTCATCCATGGATGGCATTGATTGCTTACCATCAGGTCAACCGTCGTTTTAGTTAAATAAACATCAAGAACTCACCACAAATAGTAAAGAGCGTAAAGTCACTGATCGTAGGCATCAAACTGACATCAGCTCCGTTCTTCTCCTTCAACATCTTAACGAGGTCCTGGGTCTTCTCCTCGATGACGTTGGCGAAGTTTTTCAGGATGTTGAAGTGGAAGGTCGGAGTAAGGATCTTACGACGCTTGTGCCAGTGAAGACCTGGTAAATAGAAAAAGAATATTCATATTTAATTGTTTTTTATGTGACTAGGTAAATAATGTACGTTAGGATTGAGGGGCCACATCAGATTTTTACGACGAATTCACGAATTCTAGATTTAGATATTCTAGATAGACCTTGTTATTTTAATGAAAAAGTGACTCCTTAATCGAAACATCTGGATAGATGAGCCATTTTTTTATGTGTATTTTATCTTAAGCAATCTGGTAGTTTTATTATTTAAAAACAAATATTAAAATATTTTAACTTATTAAACCCTTATAATACTTAAAATAATCAAACAAATACAAAATACTAGCTACTCTCGCGTGGTTTGACCCGCTGCTCGGCTCCATTTCATCGTAGCGTGATGTTTTATAGCCTATAGCACTCAGGAACATTGTAGCTGTATCTATCAGTGAAAGAATTTTAGAAATCCGACCAGCGGTTCCAAACATTACCACCTACATACAAACTTACAAACATACAAATTTTACCTCTTTACAATATTAGTATACATAGATATTTTTTTTATAAATCAATTGTCTTGAATTTTAAGGGTTTATTTTACATAGAAAATTAAGATGTCAACACATGAAATTTGTGATTCAACTCTAAAAAGCTCGATTAGTTTCAAGTCACCACGGGACTCTTATTAGGTACTGAACTGCGTGCGCGTCGAGGCAACGTCACACTTCACTCACACAGCTGAATGTGTTAACCTAAACTAGTAGTCTATACTAATATTATAAAGAGGTAAAATTTGTAAGTTTGTATGTAGGGGGTAATCTTTGGAACCGCTAGTCGTATTGCCAAAATTCTATCACTGATAGATAGCTACAATGTTCCTGAGGAACATTCCTGAGGAACATTGTAGCTATCTATCAGTGATCTGAAGCATAAGCTGAAGGAGCCAAGCAGCGGGTGAAACCGCGCGAGAGTAGCTAGTTTTTTAATAAATTTAGTATGTCTCAAGGCAGTTACTTTTAGAAAAATGTGTTGCTATTTAAAAGCTAATTAAAGGTCACCTTAAACCATAATTAGATTCTTTAGTCTAAGGCCAATTGAATACACGACATCAGGTACACCACTGATTACCTGTTTCCGAGCAATTTACCATCTTGAAGGTCAGTCGAACAAGTATCATGTTAGAATTCGAGTCCAAAAATACAAATGTCTGTTACCAAAAAAATAAAATAAAAATACTGGCAATAATAGGTAGTTTGTTTTGGCCGAACGTTACGTTTTTTGAAATTGGTTATTATAATTACCAACCCAACAGGTTTTTAAGTTATACTAACTTTAATTAAATGGTATGTCATGTAGCATGGAATGAGACAGACAATATTATTAAAACCAAAAAAATACATATTGCCTCTGGTTCTACATACAGGTACTAAATTTCATTTTTTGCATACCTCCATATAAAAAAAATTTTATTTCGACACCTATGGAACAGCCCAATTATACGGCCACACAGATAACTGGCGTGCAACAAAGCATTCGTTGTGTTTCGCCGTATCGGCGAGGTGACGGGAGATCTCAATCAATTCCAAAAACCAACAGAACACAAACTAAAAACGACTCAATAAAAATATAATGCCTATATGTATATTTTATTATTTTTCTGTGGTATTACAGAAAACATCACCCAAGCTTATAAACGTATATAGGTATAGGTAGGGTTCAGGAAGCAGGATCACAGAGAAAACTATGTTAACAAGCCTATGCAAACTTGCAGTGTATTTAAGTAATCCGGGTGGTGTTTGCTTTGAGGACTGACCCTTTAGTTAGAGACGGATCTAAGAGACTCTGGTCACCATAACATTTGTATGCTTAAATATTATTCGTGTTAACTGCTATTTGCGTACGCATTAAGGAGAGCGAAATTTAAACGTATTTCAAATCAAATAAGAATACGTTTAGAGTTCGAATTTTAAAATTCCATGTAGACTATATTTAGACAGGTAATAAAACAAAATTCGACGCCATTTTTTTCTGAATACAAAACATAGATGTAACGTGAAGGATTTGAATTTAGAAATCGACGCCACGACTTTTTCTACAAACAGTATAAAATGAACTGAATCATGACATTTAAATATAATAAAAAAAAGAAACGTATTTTTTTAATTTTGCCGTAAACCATACTAAAGTGATACGAATTTAAATTTGGAAGTAGAAGGTTACTGATTATTCCACCACTCATTATAAAATGTAGTAAATAGTGCATTTAATTTACACGATATTTCAAATCAATATGTTGTTCTATGGTTGAAACGGCCTTATTTAATATTAAAAAGCATAACTAACACTCACACACACTCGCTTTAAACAATACAAGTGACACCTAACAATTAAAAACACCCATTAGCCCTTGACTCAACTCAAATTTTCGGTAAAATACAAACATTAAACAAGTACATTCATAAAAAATCACGATCAGCAGCGTGAACAAGGAACGTGCATTACCGCCATTATCGAGGGTCGCAAATGTAAGGAAAGGAAGGCGAGAATAGGTGACATGTAAATTGATAGACCAGATTCTGACGTATTTTTGATAAAAGATGAGAGTACTCAATACATATTATGTAGGTATACATATATTAAAAATCACAATTTTCCTTGATCGTGGCATCATACGAGGACTTCTTTTTAACCCTCGACGCAAAAAGAGGGGTGTTATAAGTTTGACGTGTCTGTCTGTCTGTCTGTCTATCTGTGTCATCATAACTCCTGAACGAATTAATCGATTTCAGTTAAGTTTTTTTTTTGTATTACAAGTGTAATACCGGCGTGTATTCTTACTTGTGTGACTTGTGTGATAAAAATCGATTGAGCCTTTTAAAAGTTACAGGTTCTCGTTTTTACTATTCGGGATCCCTAAAAAGAAAATTTGTAATTTCTATGAATACATCCCTGGAGGATTGCTCACTCACGCGGGCCGCCTCTCTCTTTGCAAGCATGACTGATTCACAGAAGGAGGAGACGGCGTCCGAGTTCCTCTCACTCCGCACCATGGCCTCGACTAAGTCCGGGCGCGAGAGATCGCCGCCACCGATGACTTCCCTAAGGACACGGCGGTGCTCAACCCAGGCAGGGAATACCGCTACCGTATGCTCCACCGTATCCTCTAGCTGGTCCTCACAATGACGACACTCGGGCGTTTCCTCCCGCTGGATCCGAAACAGGAACCTACCGAAGCTGCCGTGCCCGGTAAGCAGCAAAGAGGGGTCTTACCGCTGCTATAGTAGCGTGCCCGGATGGTTAGCCGGTTTGGAGATAGTTATTTAGTTATCAGAAAGCTGCTATTTAATCTTCGTTAAATAAATTTAGTCGATTTTAAGGTAATCGCGGGAAGCGAGCGGTTGAAGAGTTCCGATAAATAATCTATTCTGTAATCGCTACAAGGTTTACTTGGGGTTTATAGAAGAAAAAGTCAGGTAGAAAACAACTCCGCGTATCACTGAATGATAAAAAAGAAGTTATTCCATTTTTTTTTACTATCATTAAACATGGGAGTGCCATGCTACGGATCGAATAGGTCGTCTCGACTAGAGGGATACCACTAGTAGGTAGTGCCACTGTAGGCATTGGCCTTACAGAAAACGTGGAAAAGAGAACGAAATTATGAAACAACCACAGCATTGTTTTCCGCCATGTTAGTAACGCCTTACAAACATGGCTACTTGAACCCATGAATACTTTCGCTCGCCCATCCCTCCCCAATCCCTAAATTTCCGAAATCCTAATCCCCAAAAAGCTGCCAACGCACACGTAACTCCTGTAGTGTTACGCCTATTCGTTTATCAACCTATCACAAAAAAGTAACGCCAGTTTTTCAATCTTTTACTAGATGTGAGGCATTTCAACATAGATGTGAAGGATTCCGAAACATTTTTAAGTGAATAATTATGAAACAAAAAACATAACCGGACTTCTCTCAAAAAATTACACGTCACAAGTCAGATGAAGCGGATGGAAGATTTAAAAAAAATCAAAGAGAATGCTGGCAGGCAGCGTTCAAAAAAAGATTTTTAATTTTTATTAAAACCTTTGTGAATTACTTACTTCAGTTGTACCTACCAGATTCGCTACTCTTTCAAAATTAGAATTTCAACCTATTAGCAAATGCCTCCAAATGTCTAAAATAAGGATAAGGATTTCGAAGGACTGCATGAAGAGATTCCATATAGGAATATGCAGTTTCTATGTACCTCTGTTTCTGTATTTGTTCTCTATTCACTGTATGTGTGATGTGCATAAATAATAAATAAATAAATAAAATAAGGAAGTTTGTCTTTATATGATTGTCCTTTGACAATATCTACCTGTGACTTCGTACAAGCACTTTTTGCTATTGGGTTTCCTGCTGCAAACCGCGGCGCTCTCAGAACATTATTAACATAACTTAAGATTTTTTTTTTGTATAAAACAATTAGATGTGTATTTAGATAACAAGGACCATCTTTGCTGTCAAAATAAATAAGTTTTAAGTAAATAAATTCCCCTGCTGTAGATTCAACTCGAGGTGGCAGAATGAACGCGTAAAACGGTATACCCAGCTTAAGAGCCTACGCCTACTACGTCTATTAGGCCGTAAAAACGTTACATTCTAAAGCCTGATCAAGGGTCGATCTCCGGCCACCGTAAGCGCGGGTCTGCGGTCGGCGAGTAAGGGCAACTCGCCGCCCAACCAGAACCAGACCCGAGCGTACGGCGCGTAGCGTTCCGCGCGCGCCTCAAAGAGCCAATAGACCACCACAGATGGGGCCCTATAGGGCTGATGTTCAGCTGTGGTTGCGGGGTAAGCGCAGGCACCGCGACCTCGGCCCAGAGTGGGAGAAGGAACAGGGGGGGTTTTTAGTCAGTAAGAGTCTCACTCCTGCCCGGCCCTGGGCGGGAGAAGTCATTTGATGATTTTCCCCTCACAAAAAAAGCCTCAAATTATATGTTTACTGTAGATTCATGTACCTACTACTACAATGTGAATTTTAATTTTCTTATGACAAATAGTTAAGCTGTAAAAAAATATTTACCAACACGCTATTTTGTTTAAAATAAATGCCTATTCCTTCTAAATGGCTTCATTTATTTATTTATTTTTTAAAAAGATCAATCGGTGTAAATTTTTCTTATGTAAATCAGTCAATATTTTGCAAAGAACATGTTATGTTATTGGGATTTCCATATATAAAAAGCGGGCGAACGCAGCCCGCGCCAGTCGTGCGTTAGCATGCTCAAGGTTATTGAGCCTACTATACGCCTTAATAATAACAATTTTAATGAATACCAACCAGTACTGAGCAGCAGTCCCGAACCCAGCCAACCCTTGAGGAAGTCATAAGGAGCACTCTTCTTGATATTCTTCGAATGCGAGAGAACCGTCTGGAACAAAATATTTTAATATTACATTTTTTATTACATAGGTCGGCAAACGAGCAGACGGATTTAGTTGTAAAACAAACTACTTTTCTGGGTATAACCATAGATGAAAAACTACAATGGGGGCCCCATATCACATCTCTGGCAGGACGGTTGAGTTCTGCAGCATTTGCTGTCTGGAAGATCCGACAGCTAACAGATGTGGACACTGCAAGACTGGTGTACTTCAGCTACTTTCATAGCATTATGTCGTATGGCATCTTGTTGTGGGGACAGGCTGCTGACATTGAGTCTATATTTGTCTTGCAAAAGCGTGCAATCAGAGCAATTTACAACCTAAGGCTTCGCGAATCTCTTAGAGAAAAATTTAAAGAGATCAATATTATGACTGTGCCCGGTCAGTTTATTTATGAAAATATAATGTATGTTAGGAAACACTTAATATTATTTGATAAGGTATCAGACAGACATAATTACCAAACTAGACATAGAGATAGATTGTGTCAGCCATTATTTAGATTGGCAAAGGTACACAAGTCGTTCATGGGATTCAGCGTTAAGTGTTATAACAAAATCCCAGGCGAAATACAACAATTAAATGAAAGAAATTTTAAATTATGTGTAAAGAAAACTTTGTGTAAAAAAGCATATTACAAACTGAGTGATTATATTGAGGATAAGGATGCTTGGAGACGGGCTGGTCCTGCTCCACAGGATAATATACCTACACGAATATAAATAATGTTCCAGTGGATCTTTGCTTGAACGGAAGTTCTTAGATTTTGTAAATTTGTAACCATGCTATTTTTATTGTTAAACTTGATAAATTTGTTAATGTGAGTGCCCTGTAACCTATTAAAATTAGTTAGACTAGCAGAATGTCGGTCCTTATGTCAGCTTGGAGTTGTCATGCTCACTCAAAGGTCACATTGGCGGTGGCACGGTCACTGGATCGCTCGATTCCCTATATTATGGTTGAGTTGGGCGATGCTGGTGTACGTGTCATGCTCGTGAACGGGCGCCGTCAATTGGGGCTGGTCAGCTCCGGACTGTCTATTATCCTTAAGGTTATTTTCTTTTTATGTTTCTCTGTATACACGCGTTACACTGTTCTCACATATTCAAACTAACTAAATAATGTATCAAAGAATGTTTATGTGACACTGATTTTAAAAGAGTAACCATGGAGTTTCTTGCTCGTTCTTCTCCATCGGAATCTACACTTTGGAACGAGCGAATAGCTTCACTAAGAGGACTGACCGACAGACTGACACTTTGTATCTTTAAAGTTGTGTTGACGTTCAAAAGTGCCTGTATGGGTCTAATTGAAATAAATTATTTTGACTTTGACTTTTGACTTTGACTTTTGACTTTGACTTTTGACTTTGACTTTGACGGATTACATGATGGTAAGCAATCGGTGCTGCCCTTGGACACCACAGAGCGTTGTGGGTCTTTTGGGGATAAATGTTTAGGATATTTAAGGATTGGAAAGGTCTCTGGTAACCTAACTTACATGGCGAAACACAACTTTGTGGTTGTTTCACGCCAGTCTTCTGTGAGGCCGTGGTATCACTCCGGTCTTGCCGACTCATTCGTTTCGAAACTTAGCTCTCTACACCAACCATTCACATAACTATTTCCTTACTAGCTACCGCCTGCGGCTTCACCCGCGTGGTATGTTGATAAAAAGCCTATGCGTTATTACCTATCTACATACAAAATTCAACCAAATCGGTCCAGCCGTTTCTGCATGAAAAAAAATAACCATTCACATTAATCTGTCATATAAGTATTTCTGTCTGTCTTTTCTTCACGCCTAAACTACTGAGCCGATTTCTGTGAAATTTGGCACAGATGTAGTTTGGAACTTGAGAACATTGAGGACATAGGTTAGTTTATATACCAAAAATTTGCAGGCATCGCGGCAAAAGCTAATAATATTATAGTATCATAGCTACATCATATATATTAAAGATGTTCCTACCTGAACCTAACAGCCTAACAGCAATTCCAATATTTCCAGAGCATTCCTATTCAAAATGATTCTCTTTTCCACGTACTCAATAGATAGGTTTCAGGGAACCGTTTTTCATCGGAAAATTCAGTCTTTAGCTAGTACGGATTGTATGGAAACCTAGTGAAAGATCAATTTCTGAATACTCTCCTAAGTAATTGATTGGTATACAACCTTCATGGTCAATAACTTTTGTGAAATAATAAAAGTAATGGCTAGGCAACTATTCATACCATTTTTGAGAACTGAGAACGGGCCGAAATTCGTATTTCGAGATAGTTTTCAAATGATTAAAGGGCTTTTTAGGGGGGAAGATCAACCTGTTGTTGCGCCCGTGCCCGGCCTGGAGCAGGATAAGTAGTCAGTAAGAGTCTGACACTGCCTCGTGTCCCACCCTTGGCGGGAAAAAACGTTGGATGATTTTCCCTTAACAAAAAATAAAGGATACAGATATTTTAATATTTAAATTGCATATTTGCGACGTTGGAAGTCTTGACATGAAAAGACGATTTTTATTAGCTTTCGTGGCTGCAAGTACTGTGATATCACAAAAAAAACAAAACGAAAAGTCTTTAAAGTTCTCATTTCAAAAAAAGGTTAATTTCATAGATAAAAGATGCAGTGCAGTTCTATGTTGTTTTTTTTTTTGTACATGACATTTTTATGTTTCTATAAACATCATGAAATTCGTTATTTGACTTTTTTAATTATTATTTTTAACTACCTATCATTCTTTTGTTCCTTTGTAATTTTTCCGTGCAAATGAATATTCTGTCTGGTTTTTTTTTCTTTGTTGTAAATTTGTATTTCAGAATTAGTAATTTTTAAATGAAAGATTTTATGAATTTGTTTAATAAAATATATATTTTTTTTTTTACAATTTATTTCGATTATAGGCAAAAGGTTAATAATTAGATTAGAAATTAAAAAGTGATATTATAGGCAGACAGTGTCGTGGTGGTATAGGGGTTAAGGCGCGAAATACTAGTTTGACTTTTTCCCCAATTTGCCTTCTAAATATATTAAGAGACCACTAACATACGGGGAAGGAAAACATGGTAAGGATATGTGGACTCATAATTTCTAATGATACAAATCACCAATCCGCCTTAAGCACGGTGATTAATCAAACATTCTCAGTGTGAGAAGAGGCCTTTGCTCAGCAGTGGGCATTTATAGGCTTATGGTGATGACTAGACAGGCAGCATAAATGAAGCAACAAATAATTATCTAGTCAACATGTCCATTACCTTAAGTCCTTGTGGCTAAACTACACAGAATATCAGCTTACTCTGTCTATCTTAATAAATACAGGGTCCCTTGTCAACTTTACAAGGCTTAATTTACATTTGCACAGAGAAAATCTGTCTGATTTGCATTTCCAATTGATATTACTTGTCTAAGTAGCTCGAGCTTTTGCTAAGTACTGTTAACTCCCGACTCGAATCTGGCAAAATGTTATTTACATTCATGTTTTGGGCAATGGAGCGGACGGATTACCTGATGGTAAGCATTAGGCGCTGCGTATGTTCATCCGCATCATTTGTGTAGTATGTTCATCCGCAACTTTAGAGGACTTATTAGTTAGTTGTAATATTATAAAGAGGTAAAATTTGTAAGTTTGTATGTAGGAGGTAATCTTTGGAACCGCTGGTCGGATTGCCAAAATTCTTTCACTGATAGACAGCTACAATGTTCCTGAGTGCTATAGGTTATAAAACATCACGCTACGATCAAATGAAGACGAACAGCGGGTGAAGTTAAGCTAGTTACATTATAATTAAATTTTATTATATTGTTTTTTTAACATTTGCGGTTTTCCATGTACAGGTTTACTAACATAAATAAATAATAAAGGGTCTTACTACAACCAAACATTATCATTAACTTGATTCCAGAAGATGACGGTTAAGTTGTGTTTTGCTGTCTGGGTGAGGAAACCGGGGCCTCGTCCTTCCTATTCTTCAAACCAACCAATTCAACTCCCAAAAGACCCCCACTTTTGATTTTCTTTTACAAGACCGATGTCTGCGACCAAGGCCGACTTCCAGAAAGAATGAGTGTTGTGACTCTACGTTCCCCGATGAAGGCTGCATGATCGTGCCCCATCGTAGAACGCATCATCCCTTACCACCAGGTGTGATAGCGGCCAAAGGGCTCCCATTACGAAATACAAAAAAAAACTAACTAAGAAAAACCACTAAGATACGTACCTCAACGTCAGGAGGTCCAGATATGTGGAGCACACGGAGACTAAACACCTTGAACACATAGCGGTCGCCGTATTTATTCGTATAGTCCACCAATACATCCAAAAACTTATCTGCAAAACAAAGAATTATGTAGGTTAATATAAAATCTGAAAAACTAATGTTTACTTCATCATTATCATTATCATCATCAGGTCTAGGTGGGTTGTGTAAGTTTATAAGCGCGCCCACCACGACAAACGTCACATATTACTATGGGGCAACATCAAATCATGTAATCTACCCTGCCGATACCACACTGCCCAGTAGTATCAAGTGTGGGAGAGCCATGCTTCGGCACGAATGGGTCGGCTCGATCGGAGTGATACCACGGCCTCACAGAAAACTGGTGTGAAACAACTACAGCGTTGTGTTTCACCGTGTGAGTGAGGTTACCGGAGGACCAATCCTTCCCCGCCCCCAATCCCTCCTCAATCTTTAAATCTCCAAATCCCTAATCCCTAAACGGTCGGCAACGCTCTCGTAAATCCTCCGTTGCGGGTGTCCATGGGCGGCGCTGATTGCTTACCATCAGGTTATCCGTCTGCTCGTTTGCCGACCAATTACATAAAAAAAAGTATTCCCGTATGCCTTCCTGTATCTCATAGCCTAACTGCGTAATACGGTAAAATCGCACGATAAAATTATCGCAAAATTGCATTATAATTTTTTGTGTATATAGAACAGTGTGCGCACACATAAAGGTCATATAACTACACACAGAAATTATACATATTATAACATTGAGGATCGTTTATAATATAGAGATCGTACACATATCAACCCGCGGTGACTCGGAAGTTAAAACTGTGACCAAGTTTATTTTATCCTCAGAATACAGAACAAACCAGAAGGCGTCATCGCGCTTCAAACTGTAGCAACTAAAACCACTCATATAACTGGAGTAGTATGAAATTTCTACGATCAGTCAATTTTGGCACGTGGCATGTCGTGAGTGACGTATTTACGAGTATCAATTTTAATTTAATTATGCCGGTTGTGTTATTCCTACGAGTAAAAATACGGCTGGAATTACGAAAAAAGTGAATAAGATTACATTTCATCTGCAAACATCGACTGCAATAGTATATTTAATTAATTATTGATTTTTTTTTATCGATTTATTTTTCTATGAAAATGATGTGGCCATTTTGTGAATGTTGTCATTTTTGGTGAAAATTTTACCCACTTATTTATTTGTTGTGAGTTATATTTTTGTCCATTATGCCTAGCCTATGTCATGTTAGTTTCACTGCCGACTAACAAAAAAAATAAAAGTCATACAAAGGGCACGGTTAGATTAATTTTGGAAACCATCTAGCCAGAGCATAGTTCGCTCAAATCACTTTGAAGAGATAAATTTATGACAAAGGTGGTTTGAAAACAGCATTTCCTACTAAGATATATCTGTACTAATTATAAAGCTGAAGAGTTTGTTTGTTTGTTTGCTTGAATGCGCTAATCTCAGGAACTAAGTAAAGTAAGTAGACTTCTAATCTTTAGTTCCGAGTCTAAAGACAATACATATTATAAAAAAACTAAACCCGCAAAAGGGAACGCAATAAACCTTCGCACTTATTAAAGCTTTGTTTTATTTGTTGTGTAAAGGTGTAACTAAAATTAACACAGCCAGAAATCGTCAACTTTTATGATACCTCCATGAAATGTGTGAACAACTGGTCTATTGCATTTATCGTAAATTTATTTATAAATAAAATAAAATAAATTTATATATTTATTCAATATCTTACCCTCCTGTTGTGAAATTACCGCAAACCAAGGGAATTGTTCCACTGTCAGCAACACTACGCGGGTGGGAAGTGCGGCTGGCGAGGGGATTGACGTATTGTTTTTGGACACATTTGACGACATGCAATTATGAGTGAACGCGGATTCTGGTTTGTTCTGTATTCTGAGATTTTATCATAATTTGTACTGACAAAATGTGCATGCATAAATGGGCTGAAGAAATCTACCATGGGGTAAACTGAACTTATATTTTGTAATCGCTAATCTGCCTTTTGCAAGAGAGATAAATGTTCAAACCTTTCTGTGTGAGAAGAGATATTTGCTCTTCGAAGCTGATGATGTGATGATGTGCCTTAAACCTTCAATGATAAAAAATATTACGCGCCAAGTAACAATTTTTACCTGCAGGCATTTGGAGCAGCTCCCAAGCGTTCCCTATCCATGGCCTCCTTGGAGGTCCAGGGAGTTTGTCCACAGGATTGTCATCATCTCTGAAGAATATCAGCCATACCACCAGAACTGCTAGCCCGGCTAGCAGCAATTCAAATATCATGTTGCTTCACCTGTACACAAGAGAAAAAGGTTTCTTAGTAAATGTGTAAAAAATAAAATGCTTCCGTCAAAAACTCAGTCGAATTGAGAAACTCTGGCTTATTTGAAGTCGGTTAAAATTTTTGTAACATATTTTGTGGCATCTATTTAGACTTTTTTGATAATAATATATAGTTGAGATCTCGCTTTAATATATCTTTTTTGTAACATTTTTTTTTTGCCATACCACTTCAAAGTTTTAAATCGAAATGATAGACTTAGGTACTTGATCTTACATTAATCGTACCACATGTTATTACGTACGTTACTAGCCGCGTATTTAAGAAACATGCTATAAAACACCAATATTTTTCATCCTAGTCTACACTACACTACTTTGGACCACCCTACGCTGGACTACCCTACTCTAGACTACCATTCTCAAGACGACCTGTTTCTTGACTACTTTACTCTAGAATACCACCCTACTCTAAACTTACTGACTCTAGACTACCTTGGTCTGGCTTAACCTACTCTAAACTACCTTACACTAGACTACCTTACCTTAACCTACCCTACTCTTCACTATCCTACTTAGGATAATAACTACCAAATTCTACCCTATATATACATAGGTCATAGGATAAAAAGCAAAAGCACAAATCCTTCCTACTTAATCCTTATTACTTAATAAATTATTTCACAAAACATTTTAAAAGTATCTAACGCGTTATCTAGGCATTACAAACATAACACTCAATCCGAATAAGTCATTGATTAACGCTTGTCCTCTTCGCGTATTCCATTTAATCTGCAGGCAAGTATGCCATGGTTCAATTTGATTAATCCCTACGGGAATCGATTCCCGGAACGAAGCCAGTAATTACCTATTTATTCCGACGCGACGTAGTTTATGAATAATGGCGGATAAAGTCGATGACAGGCTATTAACATTAAAAGAATATTCAGTCCGTAAGTTTGAATAATATTTTTTTAAATTTAAGGTCGATGCAACGACATAAAAATTACGAGTGTGAGGTTGATAAACTAAATTGACGTCATACAATATGTCGGCGAGGAAAAATATGAGTCTAATGTTTGAATTTTCTACTAGATGGACATTAAACAAAATTTATTAGTCAATGAGTTGATTGAGTTACAAAATACAAACAGTCATTCTCCCAGTGCAGTTTTAAAAAAGAAAGTCGTGTCAACATTGCCCCACACTTGGGTTTTCTTCTGATTCGAGGATGCGTTTACAGACATAAAATTTCACCTACACATGACACCCAGACCAGAAACAACAATTTGTGGATCACACAAAGAGCTGTTCCGTGCGGAAACGAACTCACAACACGTTGCGCGACAACCCGGTTGCCCAGACACCGGAGTTGGAGTGTTCACGGTGCAACAAAAATCAATACTTTGACTGCACGGTTGGCGCGGTGGCTGGGCAACTGGCTGCCGTGCAACGTGTCGCGGGTTCGATTCCCGCACGGAACCATTCTTTGTGTGATTCGCAAATTGTTGTTCCGGGTCTGGGTGTTTGTATGTTTGTAAACGCACCCACGACTCGGTTTTTAAAAGAAAGAATAAAGAAAGAAAGAATATCTACTTAAACTATCGTAAGATTATCATTTATCTTATCAATATTTTTTTAAATAACAGTTTAGTCACGTAAACTATTCGAGAAAAGCTCTCCCAGTTTCAAGTCACATCGGAGCTAATGCTCATTAACATAATTATGTATAACTAGCGGCCCGCCCCTGCTTCGCACGGATATCCGACTACCTCTATGTCAGTCATTTATTTTGCGAGCGTACGGCCACGTCACTGAAAAGGTTGTTAATTCCCGCTATTCCCATTTACTTTTCTAAAGTTTACTTTCATAAGAACCTTCTCCTTACAATAACGAACCAAACAAAAAAGAATTAGCAAAATTGGTCCAGGCGTTCTTGAGTTATGCGCTTACCAACACATTTCGCGATTCATTTTTATATTATAGCTTTATTGCGTGTATGTGTATATCCTGTACAAAACTTTAAATAAGAAACAAAAAAGAGATAACTGCTGTTATTAGTCTTTATTTTTTATTTTTTTATTTAATAGGTTGGCAAACGAGCAGACGGATTACCTGATGGTAAGCAATCAGCGCCGCTCATGGACACTCGCAACGGAGGAGTTACGAGTGTGTTGCCGACCTTTTAGGGATAAGGGATTAGGGATTTGGAGATTTAGGGATTTAGGAGGGATTTCAGTAGTTGTTTTTTTTTTTAATTATTTAGAATGTTCTGTACATAAATTTAAATAAGAAACGAAACAGAGATAACAACAGACTGCATCGTCGACAGGTCAGATGTAACACGGCAAAAAGTGATATGGTACAAAAAATTGTAAATAACTTGATATCTTATTGACCTTCAAGCTTCTTTTTTTCTCATTATTTTACACCCAAACTGTACACGAAATTTCAAACGAAATAATTATTTTGTTTTTATTATGTAATTAGGTACATAACCATGTTTTGTGTTTGCTTGACTGCATGTTTCGTTGAGGGTTTTTTTTGAAAAATCATCAAATGACTTCTCCCGCCCAGGGCCAGTGCGGAGGGAGTGTCAGACTCTTACTGACTAAAAACCCCCCTGTTCCTTCTCCTGCTCTGGGCCGAGGTCGCGGTGCATCATTGCGAATTGTCAAACCGCAACCTTAAACGTTATCCCGCAACCCCGGCTGAACATCAGCCCTATAGGCCCCGTCTGTGGTGTTCTATTGGCTCTTTGAGGCGCGCACGGAACGCTTCGCGCTGTACGCACGGGCCTGGTTCTGGTCGGGCGGCGAGCTGCCCTTACTCGCCGACCCACGCTTACGGTGGCCGGAGATCGATCCCTTGCTCCCCGACGCCCGTAGTGTCGCCTGTTGCGGCGGCTGGGGCGTGTGCAGGAGGATTGCTCTCTCACGCGGGCAGCTTCCCTCTTTGCGAGCATAAGCTTCGTTGAGTGTTGGCGGTACAGTAACTGCATATAAATTTGCTCGTGTTTTTCATTATTCTTGATATTTGATATTGATTTGATAGTGCAATATCTTGTGTGCCATATCTTAAAATTAGGATCATCTTTAGATTTAAATACCAAGTCAAATGTTTGATATCAAAAGGCTACTTTGGTAGCCTATGGTTATTTCAGACTATGATCTATCTCTATGCATTTTTTTATTAAAATCCCTTAACTGGTTTTAAAGTGAAAATGTTACAAACATTCATCCATACGTAGGTACCTACAAACTACCACTTTTATGACATTAGTAGAACTATATGTAACTCTAGCAGATAACAAATGCAAAGGCTTATATTCTGAGAAAAAGTAATACATAATACAAAAAAAAACTTTATTGAAATCGTTTCATCCGTTCAAGAGCTATGATGCCACAGACAGACAGATAGACATGTCAAACTTATAACACCCCTCTTTTTACGTCGGGGGTTAAAAACAAAAAGAAATCCATTCAAACTCATTTACATAACAAAGTCGCAGCATAAAGCTAGTATGCCAAATAGTCTCTTAATGCTTAAGTTAATACATAATCCAGTAACCCTAATCACTTTCGCTCACATTGCTATTTGCTGGTAATTGCCTATAATTATAGCTAGGTATAATAGGCATATATATATACGTACATTAGGTATTAGCATACCGAATGAACTAATTAAACGATTATCCTTACACTCGTAAGCACTACATTAGGATCTGCACCAAAATCTGTCTGCTATCGGCTTTATGTTTAAAGTAATCCCGTTGTACATGCATTTAACTAATTTTCATAAAGCTAAATAATATTGAATTTCATCATCTTTAGTATGTTGTATCAATTAATATAAATTATATATGCATTATATTAAATATGTTTTTAAATACAAAAAATATATTAAGTTATAATTTTTTTCATCAGAGCCATGCTTTGGCTCGAATGGGTCGGCTCGACCGGAATGCTACATACCTCACAGAAAACCGACGTGAAAAAACCAAAGAGTTTGTGGTTACCGGAGGCCCAATCCTTCCCCTACCCCAATCCGTTCCCTTTTCCGAAATCTTCAAATCCCTAATCGCCTAAAGGCACTCGTAACTGCTCTGTCGTTGCGGGTGTCCATGGGCGACGCTGATTGCTTACCATCAGGTAATCCGTGTGCCGAACCATCACATAAAAAAAAATTAAAAAACTATAATAAGGAACGAGAAGAAAGTACATAACGGGGAATATGCGTCACACCAACGTGAAAAGACTGTCAACATATGTATATAAACAACAACATATGTATATAAACAACAACAACATGATAAAACATCAGCGTCGATTTTCAGCGAATGAAATTGAAAACAGACAATGTTCATCCAAATTTTAAATGATCAACGAAAAAGTCTTATTGTTACTTAAAACTAGTTGAATTTTTTCAGCTAATTCACGTGAGTGGATCACTATTTTAAATGTATTATGTCCCACTATCTATGTTATCAATTTGACATTACATTCAGATGTAACAATTAGTTCATTCAGATGTAATAATTTCCTTACACCTACACGAGGTAAACTCTATAAATGGAAACCAGTAGAGCAAGTCATACAACACTATTAGCCTGTTAAGGTAGTCAACCTTAACATGAATATAGGCTCTACAGGACTCTACATTATGTAGAGTTGATTGCCCTGTCCATGAGTGTAAGATAAAGGATGATTTTAAGTGTGGGAGAGCCATGCTTCAGCACGAATGGGTCGGCTCGACCGGAGTGATACCACGGCCTCACAGAAAACCGGCGTGAAATAACCACAGCGTTGTGTTTCGCCGTGTGAGTGAGGTTACCGGAGGCCCAATTCTTCCCCTTCCCCAATCCGTCCTCGATCCCTAAATTTCCAAATCCCTAATCCCTAAAAGGTCGGCAATGCACTCGTAACCCTTCCGTTGCGAGTGTCCGTGGGCGGCGCTGATTACTTACCATCAGGTAATCCGTCTGCTCGTTTGCTGACCTATTTCATAAAAAAA